TTAAAAAAAAAAAATTGTACATAGAGAAAGAGAAAGAGAGTCTGAATGCGTTTAAATTATTTATCGTCTCTTCAACGCGTTGATATAAGTTCGACACGTTCGAGCACGTGCTGTAATATATTGTATCTCGTAATAAAGAAGAGGAGAGCCACGTGTTCTCTCGTATCGCGCGCTATGTACATTACAATAAACAATTAAGCGTTTCGAGTTTTCTTTAAATCGTTAATAAAATTATTACTATTGAAATTCTCTTCCAGTTTATGCGGCCCCGAAAGGTACAATCGTTCGCGTACGTTTATCCCAAATCCGAAATTTTTTTTGTTCGGCGTGTTGACATGCTAACGTTTTCTTATTTTTCGTTATATATATATACATATTTCCGATTTGAATATTCTCGCTCTCAGCTCTGCCCTTTTATTCCTTCTTTTACAGTTATTTCTATTTTCTAGAGAGTTGTAAAAGATGACTTGAAAGTTTTTAAAAATTCCTTTCTATTATACTATATTCTTTCTTTTCAAATAACATTTCTCGGCAAGGATCAGGTAAATTTTCCCCCGTTCCCCTCGCATCATTGTACGAAAGAAACAGAAAAACCGTTGAATCCCTGTGTCCTCTGTCCCTTAGGAACAAAGCATAAGTTAAAAGAAATTTTATAACAGGTATTTGGGGGAGGTTCGTTAAGTTCAAAAGCTCTCTAGCTTTCTCGAAAGTACGACGGCGTTGACGGCGTGGCTGGCGGCGGCGGCTCGCGGCGGCGCGCGCACGCGCACGCGCGGAGGCGGCTCGGCGTCGCTCGGCCGGCGCTCGTGCGTTTCCGTGAAGGCACGGGGCGCGCGATTGGCCGCGCGGCGGCCGCTCGACGTAGGCCGGCCAATCGGCGGCCGCGTTACACGAGCGTGGCGCGATGTGTTTATCCGGTCGCCTGGGATGCACGTCCGTCGCCCGTCGATCCGTCGTCCATGTCCATTGCGAACACCAGCAGTGAGCAGGCAGGAGTTAACATCATAGTGAGACAGAAGGTACCATCCTGGTTTGCTTGTCTCTACACCACCTTACCACCATGGGTGAGACGGAGAAGCAGCCCGAACAACCCAAGGCTGTCCAGCAGAAGATGGTCATCGGTGAGCGAATAATAATCCGGAGTATACGCGCTATTATTTCCGCGGCGCGCGCGGGCGGGCGTTCTTCCCCGAGTCCCCGCGTCTACCCGATCTACGCCGCGGCGGAAGGAGATTCTCTCGGCGGCGGTCTCTCTTCCGCCGTCGCAGCGTTCCTCGTAATGGCGTCTCCACGCGCGGGAGCGGCGGCGGCCTCCGGAGCCATGTGGCCCGGCGTCCGCGAGAATTCTCGCCGGATCTCCGGCGGGGCCTCGTTCGGGCGCGTCGCGCCGGGCATCGGCGGGCGTAGCGGGCGCGAGACGACATTTTCGGCCTCCATTTTTCCATCAGCTGATGCTCCCTCGTCGCCCGACGGAGTTCCTTCGCGGCCGCGGTTCCTCGACGCGGACCCGTGCTCGCGTCCTGGCCATCGATTTTCGCCCGTCGCCGCGTCACTCGCTCGCCCGCGTCGCGTCGCGTCGCGTCGCGTCACGTCGCGTCGGATCGCGTCGCATAACCTGAAAATCGACGGTGAAACGGGGGCGAATC